AAGCAGCAGCAGCACCAGCAGCAGAAGCATTGTCAAGAGGCTGTCTCCTTACTTCCGCCTGCTGCTCTGCAGCGTCATCATCTGCCTCCTCTGGCCACCCCTTTCTCCTGCTGTTTTGCTGCAGCTGCTGCAGCGCAGAAGCAGCAGCGGCTGCTGCTGCTGCTGCTGAAGGCGGCGCCGCACAGAAGATGGGTTCCGGCAGCTGCTGCTGCTGCAGCAGCGGATTCCCCACAACCTCAAGCAGCGGCGGCAGCAGCAAGTCTGCTGCTGCAGCTAACGTCTCCCGGTGGGGCCAAGCCAGAGCAGCAAACTCAGCAGCAACGGAGGCGCATAGGCAGCGCACTGCAGCGCAGCAGACACAGCAAAACTGCAGGTGCTGCTGCTGCCGCTGCTGCTGCGCCAGATATATGTCTCTGCTGCTGCTGCTTCTGTTGCTGCTTCCCCAGATGTCTCTTATTGCCGCTGTTGCTGCCCCTGTTTGGAGCACCGAAGCTGCTGCGGACCACACTAAGGCGGTACGGCGAAGCAGCAGCAGCAGCAGCGGCAGCAGCAGCAGCAGCACGACTAAGAGCACTAGCGGCGAATTGGCAATAACAGCGGTGACGGCAAAAATGATGGCAGCAGCAGCAGCGGCAGCAGCAGCAGCGGTGGATGAGACTATCTAAACTCACAATCCCCATCTCCTAGCCCCACAGGAGCAGCAGCAGCAGCAGCAGCAGAGTTATCTGCTGCGCTGCTCGGCAGCAGCGCCTGCAGCAGCCACGAGGAGACAGAGCCCATGGCAGCAACGAGACGGCAAAGGCGGTTGCTGCTGTCTTCTCGCACCCCACAAAGCAGCAGCGGGTGTGCTGCGTCTGCAGCAGCAGCAGCAGCAGCAGCAACAGCAGCAGTAGGGAGTACACACACGCAGCCCGGCCGATTGACTTGGCAGTTTAAAGTTCATTGGGGTGCGGCTGCTGCTGTTGCTGCTGCACTTGCAGCTGCCGTTGCTGCTCTTGCTGCTGTGTTTGCTGCGGCATCTGCTGCGGGATTTAAGTGCTTTTGTTGCTGCTGCTGCTGCTGCTAACCTTGGGGAGACAAGGGAAGCAAAAGAGCCTCCACCAGGTGCTGCGACAGAGCATTTGTGTCTGCTGGTGTTGCTGCTGCTGCTGCTGTTGCTGCTGCTGCTGCTGCTGCTGGGGACTCCCAAG